ACTCACTTCTGAAACTGTAAGCCAGCATTGAATGTTTTCTTCTATAAGTTGCCTTGGTCATGGTGTTTTTTCAGAGGCAATAGAAAACTAAAACAATGTGTCATGACAATGTTGAGTTTTTATATACAAAACATGGTATATCTTTCCATTTTGTTAGTTCTCAGTGAGTTTCTATTAGCAGTGTTTTATAGATATAGTAGAGAATTTTCAATTTTACTTATCTGAAAATTTTTTAAAGTTTTGATGTTACTATAAATACAACTATTTTTGAATTTTATTATCTAATAGTTAATATTATTTACTTTCCTTATATATGAGTTTTTCTTAATGTAATATTGATTTTTAATTTAATTTTATTTTGGACACATACTCTGTATTATTTCATTTGTTTAACATTTAATAATTCTAATTTTGTGGTCCATAATATGATCTATCTTTCCTCATGTATATTCATTATGTCTTTTTTCCAGAACTATAAAGGAATATGAAGATTGTATCCTGCTTTCTTAGCAGTTCCTCAATCACTAGAAGTTAAAAATATAAGCATACCGGGCTTGAGAGATGGGAGTTAAGAGTGATTACTGTTTTTTTTTTTTTTTTCAGATAACTTGAGTTCAGTTCTCAGAAACAGATTTGAGGGCCATACAACCAACTGTAATTCTATTTCCAGGGCTTCAGTGCCCTCTTTTTGCCTTGAGTGACAACTGTACACACATGTTGTACACACATATAGACACAATTGTGTGTGTGTATATATATATATATATATATATAATTTTGATTATAAAGTAAATAAACATGTATTAAAATATGACAAACTTAGTAAAATATAAAATTTCATTTTCAGCATGAATTTAACACTAAAATGATTTTAAAATTCTTAGAATATATCACTTCCTCCTAAACATTCACGTTTATGCCTATAAACTATTTCTGTTGTCAGGCTGGGTCAGAGAAGTTTCTTTTGGCATGGAGCAAAAGATAACACAACCACAACTGGTAAAAATGATGAAAAAAATGTAGAGTGTGCTTGTGTCTAAATGGGACATCCACATTACTCCCTACAAGGCTCTGGTAGTATATTTAAGCTATAACTTGTGCTTTCAAAAAGATAATTTTAAAAATTGGGCAAGGAAGTTGGATTTAGGAGAAACTAAAGATGAGGAAATGAATAGGAAGGTCACATTGTAGCTCAGGTAGTTAAGATTAATCAAATGGAAAAAATAAAACTATGTGGGATATTTGGGAGGCAAAAATGATTCAAATAGAAAGGCTTCAGAAAAAAAGCATCTATGAATGATTACCAATTCAATTACTAGTGAGGGACATGGTGGTTTCAATAACAAGGAATGAATATCAAGAAAAAAATATTTGGGCAGAAAAAAATTAGCCTATGCTTTTTATAGTTTAAGGAAAATTAATTCACTACTTGGTTATACCTATAGATTTGAAAATCAGTAGAGTTCAGAGCTAGGTATCTGATTTATAAGTCATTGACATTGACATCAATCAAGTAAAAGACTGGATCTACAAATAAATTATATGTCTGAGACTGGAATATTGGAGAAGGAGGCTCATTGGAGTTTTCTGAGTAGAAGAATATGGAATAACTTTGTGATATGGGGTGACAATGAAACAGATATTCCATTTACTACACCAACTCTAAAATTTGCTTTTGAATCCTGCCTCATTTATTAAGCAAAATGTAAATGAGGGGAAAGTAATTCAAGGAAAATTAAGTTGACTACAAATTATTTAGAACATTTTGAATTAAAGCAAGACAGTTCCAAAGAGTCTCCTAAAAGGAATTCCATTCTCACTTCGGGTCTTTAAAAATGCAACACATTTATTTTTTTGCTGTATTTGATTTTTAAATTGGGTTTTTAAAATTTTTATGTATATGTGCATACCTCCATTAGTTTATTGTGTATCAAAAGCACAAATAAGTCAAAGGGCACTAGATCCCCTACAGTTGGAGTTACAGGTAGTTATGAATTTCCTGGTGTAGGCATTCCAAACTAAATCTGAGTCTTTGGTAAGAGCAGAAAGTGCTCTTACCTCCTGATCCATCTCTTCAACTTCAATAAATTTACATTTTAAAACAATAAGTATGTATTATGGCTTAGAAAACAAGCACACACCTTAGTGAGAGACAGAGACAGAGACAGATAGACAGGGACACATATAGAATATGAGAATATTTCAACTTTGTGGTCCTTAAATACAGATACTGTATTGTGTGTGCCTTCATTTTTTAAAAGAAGATTTATTTATTTTATGTGTATGTGTAAATGCCTGGATGTATGTAGGTGCCCCATATGTGTACCTGGAGACCAGACGAGGGTGTCAGATTTCCTTGTACTGGAACTATAGGGAGTTGTAAAACACTTTGTGGGTTCTGAGATTTGAACCTGTGTCCTGTGCATGAAGAGAAAGTGCTCATAACCTCTGAGCCATCTCTCCAGCCCAGTGTGCATTTTGTTTATTTTTGTTTATCTAGTTCTTTTCTCCTTTTCTGTAAACAACATCTTGGGCCTGGAGAGATGGCTCAGAGATTAAAAACACTGAATATTCTTCTGGTCTGAGTTAGATTTCCAGCACCCACATGGTAGGTTACAAGTGTCTATCACTCCAGTTTCAGGCAATCTGGAGCTCTCTTATGGCCTCTGTTGGCACTGCATGCATAGGTGTGCACTGACATTCATGCAGGAAAATCATGAAATAAAATTTAAAAACAAAACAGAATAACCCAAAACAAAACTTGGTGTTCTGTCACTCTTCAGACCTGAGTTTCAAATCTAGTCTGGAAACATTTCTTCATATCTTATATTTTCATTTAGAAAGTTTTTCTTTACTTTTATTCCTGTGTTTGCATGTGTGTATATGTGTGTGTGTGTGTGTGTGTGTGTGTGTGTGTGTGTGTGTGTGTGTGTAGGGTCCCATTTACTTAATATCCAAAAATTTTCTGTCCAGAATCAGTTATGATAATCTACCCAATCAAACTCTAGCTGGTGATTTAAAAACTTGAACTGAGGGAAGAGAAACATCTTCTATCTGGCCTGACTTGAGAGTTTGAACCCAATGATGGTCAGAAGCTGTGATTCCAAGCCAGTTGTATGTGACTTTGGGAGGTTCTGAAAGAGTGACCCTGTCTGAGAGAGGAAAGATTGAGAGCCTGAGATGGAATTTCAAACATTCTGTTTTCTGGTTTTATTTATTCTCATGGCTAACAACAGACGTACCCTTTCACAATTTAGGTTACACAATAACTTTGTATTTTGCTTAAACTATTTCAATCTAGTATTGGTTACTTCCATCAAAATAACCATTAAGGGAAAAAAAGAAGAATAAAAAAGCAATCAAATTAAAAGTGAAATCTCCCACATATCCACCTCTGTTAGATTTTTAAAAATCACCTTTCTTGATCCACAGTACTTTTAAAGCACCTTCTTTACAGGGAATATTTTACTAGTGAAACAAATAGGATAAGTTATATTTTCGGTCACTTAAAGATTCACTCTGCAAAACCTGCCAGCAAAACTTTCATCAATAAGCACTTCCCACTTTCCTACAATCTTTCTAAGCCTTTTCTTTTTTTTTTAAACAAATGCAAAGTAAAAGTGAGCTCAGAAACATCTACTTTGGAAAAAAAAAAACCACAGATGAAAGAACCACAAAACTAAAACTAATAGGAATTTTGGTATATTTAGATCTTTAGTGACAATTATTAGACTACCACATAAAATGTTCCAGTCACAACTAAAGTATTTATTGGGAAGGGCCTACTAGTGTGGCACTAATTCCATCACTGACCAAAGTAAAAAAGGGGGTGGAGGCAAATTATCTTGAAACAAATCACTTCAAGCCCACACCCAATTCTCTTTGGGTTCACTGAGGTGTGTTTATTTTAATAGCTGATCTGAAAGCATGTGAAATGCCATGCCACAGCTGACCAGTCTAAACAGAAAAGCTCAGAACTTAAAACTAAGCATGCATGCAGCATAGAATAATAATCACTTTAGGCTCCTTTAATTGCTAAAAATCAGAAGGCTTCTAATCTTAGAAGGAAGTCTACACAACAGAATGGTCTTGCATCCCATATCTAAGAGGGGCTCTTAAAAGCCTAGTGTTCAAATTATAAAACAAACACCTACAATAGGCCTTATTTGACAAATTGTGTTCTCATTTTCTGAGGCATTTGGATGGATTTTAACAATGTAATTATTCAGAGCACGGTGAGACAGCCAGGGCCACAAAGCAAGAATTTGTCTCAAATACATACATACATACATACATTCATAATATTAAAGATAATGCAAATTGTTGGCCTCAAGAAGTAACTCAAGTTTGTTGGTTCAGAAGTAGCTTAAGTTTGAACCCAGGGAAAGGGCAATTCCCTGAGCTATAACAATATCCAAAGTCTGGTTGGCTAGTCACTAGTTCCAGACATATCTTCTTAGGAGGCATGCAGATGAGAAATTCGCATTCCACTATCTTGAAGAGGGCCGAGGAAAATGTGGAATGAGAATTAACAAAGAAAAAGAAGTAATAGGGTGGTGAGATTGAAAATGTGGTTTGAGAAAGAGACTCTGCTCTGACAGCTGTTTGGTCTTGCTCCAAGTAATGTTTGCTCGCGGGTAGATACAGGAACACACGAAGGGGGCAATGGCAGTTTTTCTGTGCTGGTTATGGGCACCTAGAGTGAATGGCTCCAGCTCAAAGGCCTACAGCACAAGGTTGTAAGAAGCTACCCAGGCTCCACTTTTCCCTTTCCCGCCCTGCCTGGCCCCGCCTCTTGCTTTCCACCCCTCGTGGCCCCTCCTCTCCTCCCTTTACCCGGTTGGAACCCTCCCCACCGCTGCCACCGGACGGCGGTTAGCAGCAGCTGCTGGCTCCTTTCTCCGGTCCTGACTCGGCGACCGGCGGGAGCGGGAGGGCGCAGGCGCGGCTTGCGGCTCCCTTAGCACTTAGGAGCGGAGCGGGACTCTCGGTGAGTGCGGCTGCAGTGCGGAACTCCTCCGAGAGAACGTGGCTGCAGCCCGAGAGGGGCCTGGGTGTGGATGGAAGACTTTGACCGGGTTGAGGGAAACTCGTGCAGCTGTGTCGGTGGTGGCTCTGCCCGAGGTTTCTTGGGGCTCCGGCCGCGTGGGCAGAGGAGTGAGCTGTGACGGGACGCGCGTGGCAAGGTGTGTAGGGAGCGGCTGAATTAGAAGAAGGAAGAAGGGAGTGGACAAACTGGAAGCCCACACTTGGGCTTGGCCAGGCCGGGAGGGGTAGCTTTGCTTGAGGGCCCTGGAGGGTGGCCCAGCTTCAAGTTCAGTCGCCCCAGTTTGGTGCTCCTGAGCGATGTTCCAACTTACTCTCTACCCTCGCTCTGCTTTTTCGGGGTACAGAGTTGCCAGGAATGTTTCCTGTCGCTGGGGAGAGGGTTTGGAAGAGGTGGGCTATCCGGCCTAGGCTGTTGCAATAGAGGGTGTGGCGTTCCTATGACTTTCCTCTGCTCGGGAATGTGACCCTCTTCTGATGCATTGTGCCTGGACATTTTTAACAAAGGCTATAACTGTTTTGTTGGCAGTGGCGGGTGGCAGAGGGTGGCGCGCGCGCGTGGGCACATACACGCATACACACACACACACACACACACACACACACACACACACACACACACA